CCGAGCTCTCCGGGGAGAACTGCAGGTGGGATACGACCTTATCGACAGCTCCTCCCGCAAATGCAGCCATGGTCCTCGCTTCTGCAGCTCGACCTGTACGCACTTCCGCAAGTGTGATTTCTCCAGTGGCAGAAATGGAAAATAGTGACTGACCACATTGTTGATGATCAGACGGCTTTGGTGGAAACCACCTGCATGACAGAGAAAATGAAAAGGGTCAGAGATCCATTTTTATGATGAATATGAAGAACATCTGGTAATGATACTCCTCAATGAGGAGTAATGACTCCTCAAATGCATCCCAGTTGCAGTCACTTGCAAGCCTGCAGAAGCTTCTGGAGAGAAGACCACGAGAAGCGGTTACAGTTTGAGACTTGGTAGAAAACCCGAAAAGAATGGTCTGGGTATAAACCCAAAGAAATAGGTAGGAACTGAAAAATAATTCCCCTAATACAAACAAAATGAGAAGCTAAAACCAAACTACTCAGTTATGACAATTTAAGTATGCATGTCAAAGCAAGGGGTGAAAAAGATGGGGAAATTTCCAGAAAATCGGATCATCATATTGGCTGCTCAAAAAAACCCTACCTACATGTACCCTTCTTCCCTAAATTTACAATCAAGAATAGTTCCTGATGGTCATGAATCTTGGTCTAGACATTTATGACCAGCTGTAGCTGGTTTTGCCAAATTTTACACAATGGCGTAATTTCACTTAAACTTCATTTTATTGCATACTTACAGAAATCGAAAATGATGACATTGTTTGTGATGTCAGACCAACTGTCTACATTGCGAATTTGCATTCACTGCCTACATCTCAATTTAAAAAAATTGCTGAAAACTGTTTCATGCTGTCAAAGTCGCTTCACTTTTGAAGTTGCCTGAAGTATGAACCAGACTTCCTGCCTACCCACCTGAAGCCTTATTAGCAGTGACCTCAATGACCTGCTCCATCTCCTTCAGCGTGATTTCTCTCCGGCTTCTACTGGCCAGCAGGTTGGCAGTTTTTGCGATTATCTCACGGGCGGCTATGTTACTGTGAAACCAGCACACAGATTGGACACCTTTGAAGCAAAACTTGGAACTGGCCATTTGAGGGAACATCAAATAAAGCACCGATCTGATGTTTTGTGATGGTGGGTTAGGGAAGGAACCAGTTTGGTTCCTAGAAGATTCTGATCCTTTTAGGAGAATCTTTGGTGGGGCAGTCATCAATGAAAAATAGAGAAGACTTTCTGCAGGAGCTGAAAAATATACGCCCTTATCCAGCATCCAGCAAAATCTCGCACGTATCATTTTTTCTTTATTTTTCTGACTAATGGCAAACATCTCAATTCTAAAAAAGTCCACAATTTTATCTCACTGTTTTTGGCGTATTATTTGCCACTTTTACACAGCTGTTCATCACATCAACTCTTGTATGGGGATAGTGGAGACAATCACCTTAAGAAGATGAAGATGGTTTTCCGGTAGTCGACTCCGTCAACGTGGATGTTGTAATCCAGGATGGTCCTGATGGAGTCCAGAAGCCCCTCCGGCATGTCCTCTACCTCGTCAAAGATGAAGAGGGAACGGGAACAACTCTTGACTGCCGATTCCACTTCATTCCTCAATTGATCCTACAGAGAACAAATGGGTAATTTTTCACAATCATGGCAATTAAAAAGACAGGATGCAGGGTGTTTTTCTTGTTTCATCTCCGCTTTGAATTCACCTAATTTGTGTCACCCCCTTGACTTTGAAGATTTTTCTTGTAGATGAATACTTAACTTCTGCTGTTGACAAAAGATGAAAGTGTTTTTAGTTGATGTGATTGTCATAGGCTAATGAGTGACAAGCCAAGATTTCTAACCGCTTCCACTAGGAATTTTTGAAGAGTTTGAAGTTACCAAATTCAAACGAGAAGCACAGTAACAACAGGAATGCCAAACAGCCAAAATGTGCTTGGAAACATCAATTTACATCTTCTTCTCCCAGGGATAATGAAGAAGTTTGAATACAACAAAATAAACGTGTATTGTTGGGATTGAATATGAAAAATAACGTGAAAAAAGTTATTTCCGTAAATCTACAATTCTTTATGCACAACCTTTCAGTTTCACTTGAAAAACGTTGTTGAAGTTGAGACCTCTTTAGTTTTAAAATCATTGCAAGACCCCATAGGACAATCACAAGACCATCACAAGACCCCATAGGACCATCACAAGACCATCACAAGACCCTATAGGACCATCACAAGACCATCACAAGACCCAATAGGACCATCACAAGACCATCACAAGACCCTATAGGACCATCACAAGACCCTATAGGACCATCACAATACCATCACAAGACCCTATAGGTCCATCACAATACCATCACAAGACCCTATAGGACCATCACAAGAACATCACAAGACCCTATAGGACCATCACAAGACCATCACAAGACCATCACAAGACGTCCAGTTGGAATTCAAGTGACTATTCCGTAAATTGCAACAAAAGCATTCCTTTGGAAATTGTTTGCCCTGCTACTTGGGACTGGTCTCTTGAATGGTCTTGTGATGGTCTTGACCACAACACCAAACAAGCTTCAAGCTTTAAAAAAACTTGTACCTGGTACTGTTCAAGTTTCCTTTTGTGGGGGAAATGTTTATTGGCAGAAAAGTGGTGGACAAATCTGCTATTCATCCCCTCTTTATAGATGGTCTCAGCGATGATGCGTGCGATGAAGTTCTTGCCCGTGCCAGTCGAGCCATGGAAGGACAGCACCAGTGGCTTGTTCGGGTCCTTGTTGGTGAGATGAGCACCCACTGCTCCTGCCACATGGTCAGTCACTAGATGCTGACCAAATACCTGCATTCTGAGAGCTTCTTGCAAGCCTGTTTGGTACATGGACAACGATTAGACCAGTTAGTCAGACAACTGGCCAAAAGGAATAACTGCCAAGCCAATTACTCTCTGTACTACCCAAAACTGCCCCAAACCTCTATGGCTTAGCCACCAGCTATTTCAGGTAAAAAACTTTAAAAATTTGGTCAGGAAATGGAAAAATGTATATTTTGTGTGGGTTATCTTGCATTTCTCATTCTGCTCCCCTTGTTCCCCGGATATTTTCCAACCTTATGCAACCCAAATGGACTACATTTGTGTTATGCCATGATGGAGGTCATGATGTTCACCCCACTTGCTAATCCAGTCCATTGTTTTAGGGGAACTTTCCCACAGTCCTGACCAAGTATTTTTAGAAACAGAATGTCAGTTTTCATTGTTAGGGAGATTCACAAGACTGGAGGTTGCAGGTTGTTGGAACTTGGGTGAAAATCCAAGCTCATTAGCAGAGTTACACAATCAATGGGGAAGCTTGCATGCAAATCAAACTTTGAGGAAGGTTTGGTCAATTTTGGAAGTGACCAATCAAATTCTTGATGGTAATGTCCATCAAGAGATTGTAACAGGCATTTAAAGGCCTATGCCAGGGTCAAAATTCAGTCTGCACCACCACCCAGCAGACCACTGGTCAACAGCCCGACACTCAAGTCTACACAGTAGCTATATGGGCTCAAGTGGCATATCCAGGGGTCCGTCTGTCAACCAATAACATTGATCCGTGTGTCGACCCATCATATTGGTCCATCCACCTGTAGACCACCCAGTCAGTTGGTCAACTCGACGAGAGCTTCAATAAAGATTTTGTCAGTTGTTGAGCAAACGACAGAGACAGTGTTGCCGTCCGTTAATTACGAACATATGAGGGAGAATCTTGCACTTGCAGCGCAGAAACCTATCCGGCAGCCGGCCGGATAATATGACACTTTCAAAATCAGAAAGATGTAGTGGTCAACGTTTCATATAAAGTCAACCCACTTAAATACTGACCCGAAAGAGTTACTTGTTAATTACATGTATTTGCATGACATGTCTTACATCAACCTAATATTTTCCACACAGAGGGATCTTTACTACCACAACGGGGGAAACCCAATGTCGAGTTAAACAGAGAGTCTATCTCCAAAGACTTTGCAGAATTTGTGTATTCACCACAAATACAGGGTTAAGTATGTTCAAAACTAAAAGAGCCAGCTTTTGTGGGGCCATCAAAGAACCTGGAAGGCGTGGATTCCAACCCGTCCAAGAACTCCACTGTCTGATGCTTGATCTTTATGAAACTTGGCATACATGTAAAGACATTGTCAGTACAAATGATGTTTCAACTTTCAACTTAAATGATCGTAGTTTCAACCCAGTTTGAAATATTGTTGGTTTGTTGTTATGGCCAATTGAAGTTCAAGGCCACACTCAACTCAGCCTGCATGCATACAGCATGTCAATAGAAAACTATACAGTTTTGACCCACCTGTCTCGGAAAATGGGCACTGTGCAAGAGTGGTACTTCTGATTTTCATAAAATTGGTGTCAAAATGAATGCATGATGTTGCTGAAAGAAATTCCTAAAAGCTCAGCGAGTTATCAGACAAAAGTAAGAAGGGGCAGATTTTAACTCCCCCCTAGGATTAAACATCAACTTGAGATGAGTTGAGATGCTCTCAAGATTTCAACCCATTCTCCAGTACAAAGTAGTTGGACAAGAAAAGTCTGGTATCCATTCCAATTTAAATTATAGTATCCATGTTCCCACAGGCTTTCTGAGGGGAAAGGGACAGGTGCACTCTACTCGGATTTTCACTTCACTGACTACTTGCCTGAGGTATTGGTAAGATGTATCCAGCCAAAATCAACTTCGCAACACTCCCTCGTCCATTTGGGAAAAAAATACACCATATGAGCAACGATGAAGACGGCGCAAATACTTAAAAAGCACATTAACTTCCCGACAAATGCCATTGTGTATCTGTAACAGAAAGAGAAAAATCACATTCAACAATCTGAGATAAAGTTGTGATTGTGAAAGCCAATTCTATGTTGGTTGTGTAAAATACCCATGGAAAATCGCATGTATTTAGGACTGTTTACAGTTTTCATTTTGTTCAAAATGCTTCTTTTCATATACTTCTCAAACTCTCTTATAGGTTTGTTTTTCAACACACTTGCAGTGAATGGTCATTTTGAAAATTCCCCTAGGAGGCACTCCTGTAAGTTCCAAGAGTTCAATGTGCTGTCAATATGAAATACTTGACAAATGCTTGAGATTTAGAATTCGACATTTGGTGTTAACACACCTCCACAATTCAAAAGAATCTGTTAGGGGGCAGACTTGCGTTCAGGGGCCAAAAACATCAGAAATAGTTCCATGTCACTTTTTATGGCCTTTTTGAGGGGTGTGGCTACATTTCTGGGGACTTTTTTGATGCTTTCGGAAGCAAGCAAATTTACATAGACCCAAAACTTCTCTTTCTCTTTTTT